GAGTCAAACACGCAAGGCCATCACGCAGGTGATCGCAGATATCGGACACCTTTGGCATATGAACCACCCATCAATATGTCAGTTGAAGAAGTTTCACCAAATTTCGACTGAACATTACGAGCTTCTCAGAGGAATCAGTGAGAAGATTGCAAACACAGTTGACATCGATCATTTGGAAGCGGAAATGAAAGAAGCCGAATTTCATGAACGCCAGATTATTATAGCGAGGGTGAAAGCGTAGTATAAGATGGAAGATGTACAAAAGGTTCGGCCAAGTCCCGTGGAAACGATAACACAACGGATGAGAGCAGAAGCAGAAAGGAAAATACTCTCTTCGTCTCTGTCACCACCATCTAGCCATTAGGTGCCGAATAGCAATCTTGTCGCACAGAATCTAGATGAGTCGACCTTAGGACCAAAGGGGGAATATAACAGCAGCATACAAACCAGGGTTCCACGACAGAAAAGGCAAACCAAGTACCCAACACTGAAAAAGAACCTCCAAGTTTGAATACACCTTCAACGACTTTAGAATTCACGCCAACGGACTAGACCCACGAAGATAATGGCAGAATATCTACAACTCAGCTGATCATGATGGAAGACATTTCTTTGATAGGAAACTGGGAAAGCTTTGAAGATCACAAAGGTAAAGCGCCAGGTATTAAAGGTGAATGCACGCCGAAGACGAAAACTCCAGACCAAACAATGTCACCACCAATGTGCTTAGAAGCGCCTGGCGGAAGCAAGACAAGACCACTTTTTAAAGCGAGTGGAAACAGAAAGAATACCGCGAGGACACAGATGCAAGTCCCTTGTACTGCATTTAGGTTCTCCTTTTTTAGGAAGCTACAAACGTCAAGGTTGGGGGCAATACTAAGGACCCATCTTATTTCCGCAAAGAATGCCAAAATAGCATCAAAGCCACGTATAAGACAGAACAGGCAAAACAGAAAAAGACTGCTGCTGCTTCTGACGTAAACAAAGGCAAGACGAGAAAATCAAGAAAACTGTCCAAAGTGAGCTACAGTAAAACATCGTGGAAGAGACTGCATCATCGTTGTTCATGTGTACTTGAAGTGTTCATCGAAAGTCCACTATGGAGAACACGTTCAATAGCACGTATTCGGAACAAGTATCGGAAACACCGCTGGAAGAGCCAGCACAGGAGAAAACTTGGATTGTTCCGTATGGACTGACTTGGAACTCGATTAACTACTGACTAGTATCGTGTACTAAGAACCTGAATGTGTGTTTAGTGTTATTTGTCGTCATGCGTCATTATGGGGGCGCGGAGGATGTTAAATATTGTGTGAACAATGAAGATAGTCACAATCAGCGTTAGTGGATATACCAGCAGGGTTTGGAATAAAGAAGAGGTCGACGGGTGGGCTTCGCCATGGGCATGGCGGCTCGTCCTTTTCTCAACACCATAGACAAGTATAAAGCGTAATTGAAAAGGCCACATGCGGATTCCCTGGTGGCGAATATTGCTTACATCATGCAAGGGGTGGAAGAAAAGGATCCTGCAGCTCTATTTATGATTGATTATATCCAGAAATTCAAGAAGAAGAGACCAAGCTGGTCTGAGGACACAACCCGACGTTGTGTAGTTTTGAGGCCTTTGTCGGCCAGAACATATAAACACATTCGGGGGGAATTGCTTTCGAAGCTTCCTTACAGGAAGACGTTAGGTAACTACGTAAGATGTACAAGTGCCGGAACAGGCTTCATCAAGCTCGCCGAAGCTCGCCTTAAAGTGGAAGCCGAGAGCTTGACTGTACCGCAGCCAAGAGTTTGTTCACTCCTCGTCAATGAAATGAAGATAAAGTAATAACTGCAGTACAATAAACAGCAAGACTGTTTTGTGGGGCATGCAGATGTCTCCTTGAAACAACAGGGTGGTGACCTTACCTTAGCGAACTCTCTTCTGTGCTTAGTAATCACTAGGCTCTCGATTACATATCGCATACCAGTAGCCTGCTATTTTTCCAAGGGTTGCACAGGTCCACAGCTTCACAAATTGTAAATTTTTGTGCTTGAGAAATTAGAGGCCCGTGGTCTCAGGGTAATTCGTTTAGTGAGTGACAACCACAAAGTGAATGCCAATGTTATGAAACTGCTGGTAGATGGTCTTCTTACGTACAGGGTAGAAAATTCCTGCGACTGTGACAGGCTCCTGCTTTTAAGTTTTGATCCATTCCACGTTTTAAGAAATGTGAGCTCTCAGTTTCTGGCTCATGACCTTGGCCCAAAAGGAGAAGTCTCCCTGCTACATAAAGAGCTCTACTAACTGCATAAAGACCTAGTTGCGAAGCCTGTCTGCTACTTCAGCCGAGAGCATGTATACCCCAACATTATGGAAAAAAAATTATGTTGCAAGGGCATTCAGGTCATCTCCGTTGATTTTACTGCGACCTTGGAGCAACTCAGAGACGAACCTGGGCCCACTTTAAGTGCCTCCTTCGCAGCTGCAGGCCAGATCATCCTTTTCGTGCAGAGCCTTTATTGTTGGTTTGAGCTGCATGTCACGAGTAACACGACCGAGCGCATTTACAATCAATGGCCTGACACTCGACACTTCGACAATACCGAAGAGACCAGACTGAAGTGGCTTGAGGTAACACTGCCTGCGTACTTGGACGAGCTGAAAAAGAGCTGTGTAAAAAGAAAGAAATTTTTGACGAACGAAATGTACAAAGCATTGCTTTTGACCACGTATTCCACAGTTGCCTGCATCAGACACCTGCTCACAGACGATAAGTTCTTGTTTGACCTCACTTGCAAGTTTAACAGTGAACTGATAGAGTCACTGTTTGGCACGTCACGAATGTTCACCGGTTGTAATGACATGCTAGATGTTCTTTCTGCTATGTAAGGCCTTAAAAACGTTCTAAAAACGGCAATTTCAGCATCAAGCGTGGCATCAAGTGTAGCCCACAGTAAACTGGCACAAATGTACACAGGTACTTTGCACTATACAGCTTCCCTTCGCCAACACAGCAGCTTCCTCAGCTACAAAGAGCTGCATGTGTTTTCCGACGACTCGCCACTACACTTTTGCCACGGCAGCTGCCTTTCCTTGAAATCTCGGCAACTGCATATGTTGGAGGCTACATTGTCTGCGTAATAAACGAGCACATGTCATGCGGAAGTTGCACTGGAATCTTCTCGGCACCTGCAAGTTACCGACCTATCTTTCAGTCAACTCACAGCCAGGATCGAGGTGGGCTGCTTTACCCGTCAGACCACTTGCTGTTCGCCCTTGACGTACTCAGGTCATTTGGTAATCGTGCCCTGAAGGACAACCCCACTCTGCAAAAGCCACAGTCAACCCTAGTGAAGCATGCTGTACCAGCCCTGTGTGCTGCAAACCTGCTCAAGTGAAAGAGAGTAATGACAGTCTCAGAGTTAGGCTTATGGGGCTTAAATTTGTTCAGTTTACGCGGCCACTGCTGGTGAATGATGCCTTCAACGTTAGTGACAAGAATGATGCATCCAAATGCTTTGCGAAGAAGCCCCTGTCCAGAACGTATGTGAAGCTTTAAGGTTAAGGGCTCAGTATCTAAATGTGCTGGTATATATATATATATATATATATATATATATATATATATATATATATTTATATACCTGTAAGTGTTTTTCAGTGTGTTGTTTGTTCTGTTTCCATTAAGCATGTTAAACATGTGTATTCGTATTGCACCAAATTTGTGAGGAGTCAATGTTGAAAGTGTATGAACCACATATTTACGCGTAGGAGCCTTGCAATACGCGGCACCTAGAGAGCTTGACGTCAATGATTCCTTCTGCAGCTAGCTATAAGGTATTATGCTTAACGTAAAGCATCTTTCTTCACTTGGCACCCACTGAAGCTGACTCAACATCTGTTTGACTGTGATGAATAGGTGATTTTCATGCATTGAGGGGTGCGGTCAAATAACCTATCGGTTTGTCTACTAATGAAAGTTGGTAATCGAGCACCATGTTTTTAAAAATTACTCACTAAGAGTCATGTTTTTCACTTGCGGGTGTTGTGTGAAAGCTTGCGCATTGAAAGACTAGGCAACCTCATTCAGCGATTGTACCCACGCTAAAAACTTTGTGTGGGCACAGTGATTTTAACACGCGCCCTCAGTTTCAGGTTTGAGCTCAAAAAATTGAGGATAAATCTGTTTTGTTTTGAGCGCGGCGCGAAACTTATTGCGGCTCGGCACGTCCGCCACCCTGTTTGAGTGGCGGCACCTTGTGACAGGGCGCTGCACTTGCGCCGACGGAGGATTCTATTGCCCTCGCGCTTTTACCGGGCACTGAAATTAAAGGAGGCACTGGTCCCACACACTACCCTTCTTACTGCTATTGTCTTAGCCACATTCGCTTACTTTTTCAATAATTCTTTTTATTGCTTTTCGTATAGTTGTTTTTGCTTGTATTATATTAGCTTTTATGATTGTTGGGTCTGCATACTGACCTTTTGAATAAATTATACACCACATTATCATGCACAAGAGGTGCCATTTCATTCTGTGACTACGGGACTTCCTTTCGTATATCTTTACAATGTCCTTCTTCTTTTGACGTAAAATAATTTATTCGCAGTTATATATACATGCAATAGTAGCGGCGCTCACGTCTGCAGCAAAATCTCCCGAGGGTGTCCATATAATTGCTATCGCAATAAAAAAAAGAAGGTATGGTTAGTCAAAAGAGGCAAAGACGAGTGATTTCCGCCCAAATTACGAGTTGACCGTGCGGCCGTTTAGTACCGAGCATAATAGGGAATAATTAGTAGCGCAACGAAGAGGAAGACTAAAAGATGAAGCGTGGCACAGCGTAAGGGTGAATGGTACCACATTCCGCGCGAGTTGCGGGCCTGTTTCCAAGCTCTATGCCAATTGGCCAACTGGCAGTGGGGATTGCTGCCGCTGCCGTCGAGTGCGTAATCATCATGCACCGTCAAGTCCCAAGCGTGATGTCCAAGACACTAGGCTGTGATGTCATTAACACTACTCTGAAAGCATTTATTTAGCCACGAATTGTTTGTTGATAACCGTTCACGTCTACGAGATGCATTATTCCATGAATTCCCTCTCGGCGATGGTCCACTGCATTATTGTGCAGAATGTGTTGGACATCCAATGCGGGCTGCTACAGCTCTCGTGAGGGCATTCCCTAAGCAGCAGGACAAAGTTCTCCCTTGTCATCGTAGCGTCTCAGAAAAGCTAGCAGTTCCTTGTGAAGGTATACTCCGTTCGTCGTCGACACGAGGAAGTGAATGTGCGTGTAGAAGGGGTCGTCTATGTAGTGGTTGATCTTCACGTTTCCTTGCAGCGACTTGAGAAGCTCACGAACATCTTCAGGGGGCACGAACTCGTCACCGGCGCTCCAGAAGATTCCAAGGTCAGTCTTTACGTTGGACAGCTCGTACTCTGGAACACTCCGCTGAGCAAGACAAAAGTAACAGTCACTAGAAGACGGCGAGACGTAAAGTATGCTTCATAGTACAATGCAAACAAGGTTTATAAAAAAATTCAGTCCATATGCGGTAAATAAATAATGTGCGCGACAATTTCCGCCACTGGGAAACCAGTGGCTTCTTTAGTGATTTTCTGTCAACTGGCCTTGGTTTTTGGCTTTCTGTGGGACTTCGCATTTCTACATCGAAACCTATATAAAAGTCTTTTAGCGTATACTATTCCCTCGCCGAACAAGTAAATTTCTTACACAACAGCCACCACAGCTGAGCTATTGGAGTACGCTAGAAATAGCACCGAGTGCATAAGTGCCTGCTCGGCCAGGCTATTGATATATTCATTATTTACTTGACCCAGTAATAAGACACATGTGTTACTGTCTAACTGTTGCGGGAAGCACCAGCATCAAATCAACATTCGGCAGAAGCCTTCAAAAAACCAGCGCAGGATGATACTGCACCTAGCATGCACCTGGGTTGTATTTATTCCCACAGTCGCGTACGCGAAGAAAGCGCACCGGTTCGAGGTGAGAGCGAAAGACCGAACTGCTCGAGGAGGAGACGGCTGTGGACTGTCGTAAGACATGCGCACCACCGAAGTCAGCGTTAGTGCATCTGAGCGTCTCCTTGGCTTTGCAGTTTACTCAGAAGCCTACAATTTGCTATGACGTTAATTAATCGTTCTCTAAATGCCACGCAGCGTTTCCTTGATTTTGAATGGCTGCTCACGGACTTGCACACGAAACTAAGCACTTTGAATGATTTTTAATTTTTTAAACGATTCTATAAAATTAATTAAGCGGTCCTGTGTGTCTGTCGAAATGATAAAAGTATCATTGAGAAAGCGTCGGTAGAGAATTGGCTGAATTTTCTGGGTTGATAGAAACTTAGTTTCAAAGTCATTCATAAAGAAGTTTGCGTAGTTAGGTGCCATGCGAGTCCCCATAGCCGTGTCATTAATTTGTAAGTAGTACTGATTAGAAAACTCGAAGCTGTTGAGCTGGAGAACCAACTTAGCGAGGGTTTCAATGACTATTGGGTTTGGTGAGTTGTCAGATTTATGTGAACTATAGGCTTGTACTAGTGCTTTGACGCCGTCACTGTGTGGAATATTGGTGTAAAGGAAAGCAACATCAATAGTTACAAGAAAGGCGTCCTCAGGGATTATGAGATCTTTGATCGTCCTAATGAAACGGTTGGTATCACGTAGGTAAGAGGAATAACCATTTCATTAGGACGATCAAAGATCTCATAATCCCTGAAGATGCCTTTCTTGTAACTCTTGATGTTACTTCCCTTTACACCAATATTCCACACAGTGACGGCGTCAAAGCACTAGTACAAGCCTATAATTCACATAAATCTGACGACTCACCAAACCCAATAGTCATTGAAACCCTCACTAAGTTGGTTCTCCAGCTCAATAGCTTCGAGTTTTCTAACCAATACTACTTACAAATTAATGGCATGGCTATGGGGACTCGCATGGCACCTAACTACGCAAAAATCTTTATGAATGGCCTTGGAACTAAGTTTCTATCAACCCAGAAAATTCAGCCACTTCTCTACCGACGCTTTCTCGATGATACTTTTATCATTTGGACAGACACACAGGACAGCTTAATTATTTTATAGAATCGTTTAAAAAATCATCCAGACATAACGTTCACTTGTTCGTACTCAAAAACTGAAATAAATTTTCTAGACGTCCGCGTAACAGTACAAGACAGGTCATTAGCTACTAATGTTTACAAAAAGCCTACAGACAGGCACCAATACCTTCATTTCGATAGCTGTCACCCTCGTCACTGCAAGACATCCATCCCGTACTCCAAGGCTCACCGTTTCAAAAGAATTTGCTGCCGTTCCAAAGACTTTGAGGCCAACACAGAGAGCTTGCGCAAGGTACTTTCAAAGCAAAATTATCCTCCTTCCATAGTCAACGACGCCATACACAAAGCGGCAAACCTAGATCGCCAGCAGCTACTTGACCAGCAGAAAGAATTGAAACAAGAGGGACGAAAGAACTTAGCTTTAACATTTTGCAGCAACCCCCCTAACGTAAACAAAATTCTAAAGAAACACTTTAACATTTTACAACAGAGTGAACGGCTATGAAAAGTTTTCTCTTCTCCTCCACGAGTGGTATATAGACGCCCCAAAAACATTAAAGATTATCTTGTGCGGTCAAAAACCGATAAAACGTCTATAACTGGATGTCAACCATGTGGCAAAGCCCGCTGCAAGGTGTGCCAACACATACAGGTGACCAACGTTGCTCAAAGCACACAATCTGATTTCAAGTACTTCATTAATTTAAACCTTAACTGTGACAGCTCCAATCTAATATACCTTCTCGAGTGCGGAAGATGCGGTATTCAATACATAGAACAGACTGAAGCAGCCTTTCGCATCCGCTTCAATAACCACCGTTCACATGTTCATTCACTTCCGGATCTGCCTCTGTCTCAGCATATTAACTGCGGAAACCACCCATTTGATTCCATAAAGCTCACACTTTTACAAAACGATTTCTCTAGCACAAGGGAACGTGAACAGCGCGAATGTCACATGATTTGTAAATTTAATACAGTTAAAGCTGGTTTAAATAACACTCCAGGCATACTTTCTTCAATTCGCGCTATAGAAGATTCAGGATAATAATTATCCCAACCAAACGTTTTAGTTTTCTCTTTTTTCTTTCCTTCTTCTTCTCCTCTCTTTTTTGGTTTCCTTAATTATCATTTTTCTTCTCTTCTGATTTCGCCCAGAGCACGTGTTTGGGCGTGCGGCATGGGCACGCGCATTCCGAGAAAGGTGGACCACTAAACGAAGTAAAATGACACATCCAAGCCCTGAGGTAAAAACTTGAAAAACAACTTCCAGTACATATTTAATATTCTTGAGCCACAGACCGGAGATCGTAGCTACCTGGCATGTGCCTATCCTGCAAGTGCGGAGCTTTGACACGCGTAGCCCTTGCTTGCTGTTCTTCTCTCCTTTTTCCTTTCTTCCGTTTTTTCCTTTTTTTCTTTTTTTTAAATTTATCACATCGTTCTGACGTAGCGCTCCTCACCAGGCTTCAAGAGCAACTACGGAGGGGGAGAACAGGTGGAATGTGACAGCGACAATGATTGCAAGAAATGTACTGTGGTATTCTTTACAAGCTACCAGGAAAGCTGATGAGAGGTGAACTTGAGGAGTCAAACTTTTCATCACTGGAATTTGCTTAATTTAGCCCCTGGACCAAAAAGCTTGCCATGACTGTATGTTGTTTACCACTCGTTTTTTTAACAAAATGCACCTGCCATTAATAGTACGCAAACGTGGTCGTTAGACTACTTATCAGTGTATAATGGGACGTATTGCCACTGGCCCAGGTGCGTTGTTTTTCTCTTTTTCTTTTTTATTTTTTTAATGCACGTGCTGTGCGTAGTACGCACACGTAGCCGTTTGGCTGCTTATCAGTGCATGATGGGTGGTTGGGCCACTGGTATATGTAGGTTTTTCTTTTTCTTTTTCTCTCGCTTTCTTTTTTTGCTTTTTCTTTTTCTGTCGCTCTCTCTCGGCTGGAAGATGGCATAAAAACGCGTCGGAGCCTACTAAATTTCGTCTGATGAAGATCGGTCTGCGATCTAAACGTCACCAATAAATAGTTTTTTAGAGGCGTATACTTATTTTTCCTTAATTCTACGGCAACCGAAGCCAGACTTTTCATAATCTACGTATATATATATATATATATATATATATATATATATATATATATATATATATGTATGTATGTATATATATATATATATATATTGTAAGGCAACGGTTTTGGCTGCAAGACACTTCTTTTACTTGCTGAGACTCTGCCCCACAACACAGGTCAGACTTATAATGATGAGTATGTACATATTATAAGATGACGCGCTTGAATAATGCTCACACTTATTTCTCCCCCTCGCGTGAGCGGCCAGGCCGGACGCGTCTTAGACGGAGACGGAACGTCGAACGAATGGCTTGAGACGTGATACGTGGAAAATCTCCGAACTACGACAGCGACGATCCGAAGATAGATCGCTGGGAGTGACACGGTAGTTTAGTGGTGACGTCTGTTCATTGATTGTATAGGGTCCAATGAAGCGTGACAGAAATTCATCGCACAATCCTGAAGTACCAATGGGCATCCAAAGCAACTCTTCATCCCCCGGACTGAAGGAGACGTCACGATGAGAGCTGTTGTAGCGTTGCTTGCGATCTTGCTGACTGGCTTCTGTATTAAGGCGAGCCCGTTGCCAACATTCCTCAAGCCTTGTGATGAACTGCTCTGATACGGTTGCCGAGGCGTCAGTTGGAACATTTACGAAAGAGACGTCGATGGTGAATGTCCGTGAACGGCCGTACACGAGGTAGAAAGGCGAGTAGCCAGTAGTTCTTTGAACAGCGGTGTTAGGAGCAAACGTCACAAAAGGCAAAATCATATCCCAGTTGTCGTAGTTTGGTGCGATGTACATCGGTAGCATGTCTGTTAGTGTCCGATGAAATATCTCTGTCAGCCCATAAGTTTGGGGGTGGTAGGCGGACGTCGTCTTATGTACTGTACCACAGGTTGTGAACAGGGTTTCGATTATTGTGGACAGGAACGTCTTGTCGCGATCACTGAGGAGGACGCGAGGTGAACCGTGACGCAATACAATGGCGTTAAGAAAGAAGAAGTCTGTGACGTCTGAAGCAGAACTTGTGCGTAGTGCAGCAGTCTCTGCGTACCGTGTCAGGTGATCGACAGCAGTCACAATCCAACGATTACCTGCTGGCGTGATTGGGAGAGGTTCTAGTAGGTCTATGCCAACGATGGCGAAAGGAGTCTCGGGACATGGGATGAGTTGCAGAAGGCCATCAGGAGACGAAGTTGGTCACTTCCGCCGTTGACACAGATGGCAATATGCAACGTACTTGGCCACAAAGGTAGAGATGCCAGGCC